TGGGCTCTGAGACTAGAAGGGAAGCTGCTGCCTCCCTCTTCTCCTCCCTCCCCCCCTCCTCTGGGATGAGGAGCCCACTCTGGGCTGCACTCTGTGTGGGGCTGGCCTGGCTGGTGGGACGAACAGAGCTCTGTGAACTTGAGTGAGGAGACCTGGCCTCAGCCCTCCTCCTCCCAGGTATTCCTCTCTCTTTACCCTGTACTCCCCTCCTGTAAGCCAAGGGATTAGATGCTTTGATATGTGAAGCCCTTTGTAAACGCCCAACTGCTTTACAAATCCAAGTTTCAGAGGAGGCAGCAAGGCCTAAGCCAGCAAATCCAAATCTCTGGGCACCCCTGACCCATTCATCCCTCTGGCTGACTGTTCCTACAGTAGCAAAACAGGGTGAACCCCACTTCCATGTCAGGTTGTTGCCTTACTTAAAGAGACACTACTGAAAGCAGAAGTCCCTCAAGGGCAGAGCCCTGCACCAGGAACTCACCGGGACAGGGCCCCTGCTTCCCTGAACTCAGGTGGGGCCACTTGGCATTGCCACCCTCAGGATCCTGAGGGGGGAAAGGAAACCAGCTGAAGGTCATGACTGGCAGGCCTCCTGCACAAGCCCCACACACGCTTCTTCCCCGGGCAACACTAGAACATTAAACAAATGCCATCGCAAGCAAATTCCTCAGGCGGGAGAGGAGGGGCCTGGTGTCTAACACTTCAGCAGAACCCACCCTCTCTGCTCTTCTACTGGGCTGCTTAAGGCTCTTGTAAATTCCCAGGGTACAGCTGGGCTGGGAATGAACTGGCCTCCAGAGCAGTCTGCTTCTGAGTAATAATGTCTCGGGTGGGGTGGGGGCAGGGTAGACGGCCCCTTCACCCCCAGCCCTCCCATCTCAGCAGAACCCGAAAAGTGGGTGGCTAAGTGGACGCGGGAGGCTGAACTGATCTTGGACCTCACAGCCTCTCCCACCCCCCCCACCATCATCAGCTCTGAGACAAGAGCCCACTGCCTAACTCCCTGGTCTGCTGCCTCCCTTTCCTCTGTCCTGGGGCAGACCCCACTGTCCCAGAGAGGTCAGCAGAGGAGGCACTGTTTCTGCTGGGCCTGCGGAGGAGGCCCAGGGCTGGGTGCACCCTGGCCGGCAGCCCAGGAAGCCTGAGCATGTAATCAAAAGATTGTATCTTCTCGGTCTGTCTTTTGTGGGGACAAGAGCTCCAGTTGCCTTCGCTTCAGGACTCCTGTTTTAGCACCAGCCCCTGCTGCCTGGCTCTGCACTGTCCCTTTAGTCAGGGCAGCCTCAATTTCTGTTCCTGGTTCTGAGCACGGAGAGGAGATTGTTTTCTTCTTCCCTTTCAGGTTCCCTAACAGTGAGCTACAGTGGCCGGCTGGCTGGTGCCCTCCGCTGCTGGTAGAGCATAGGCATCCATCCTGAGGGGCTTTTACAGCATCTCATCCAGCTGGTGAGGGACAGCTGAGACCTCAGGTACCACCTTCTGCTGAGGATTGCACCACATGGGGTGTTGGGATGGGCTGGGATATGCAGGGAGCCCCAACCCCCAGCAGCACCAGACAATACTTAGGAACCCAGATGGTCAAGGAACACTTTGGCTCACCACGACCCCAAGTCGCCATGGCCTTGGCAGCCCCACCCCACCCCATGGGCCCAAGTTCACCAACAGGGGAGGTAACCAGGCAAGTGTGCTCAGTGCAGGGGAAAAACAAACAGCTTCCTGGGAATGCCAATGGGAGGGAGGACAGGGCAAGACAGAGGGGGGATGTCAAGGCTAGGATCCTGGGGTTGGGGGTACCTGGGAAGTGAGAGGAGAGTGTTTAAGGCTGAACCAGTGGGCTGGACTGTGTGGCCCCTGTCTCTTCTCGCCCTTCTTAGCTGGTCACAGTGAGCGTAGATTTCTTGGCCCTAGGGGCCTGGGCACAGAGGCTATAGGTAACAGGAGACACCTCCTCACTGTGAACCCACTGATTCTGCCACAGACCCGTGAGATGTATGGGCCTGTCCTTCTTGTACAGCCAAGATGGCTGCAGCCTGAAGAAGGAGGGGCCTGCCCACAGTCTCCAGGGAGGCTGCCATCTACCACCTCTGGCTGAGCACTTTACAGGCACCCTCAGGAGCCCATTCTGCATGATGAGGAGAGCAGGGCCCAGGGAGTGCTGGGTCCACCCACAGCCAGGGCCAGAAGCTGAATCAGGCATTAAACCCAGAGTCCCCTTTCTTAGCATAACTGGCCTCCTACCTTCCCTCCCACCAGACACATTTTTTGTGTGTATCTTTTCTTGCCAGGTCATCAGACTATTTTGTCTACTAACTCTCAAGGCCCCCAGGGGGCTACAAGCCTCAAACCATGGGGATCCAGGGGAATTCTCCTTTATAAAATTAGCTTGACTCCCTTCCCGCCCTTGAAAGAAGGAGAGGAAGGAGTTTGGGAAAGTCTTGACAGTGGGCACAGAGGAGGGGTCTCCACCTCCTCCCAGGCAGGGAGGCTGGGAGCCCGGTAGTTGGGTTCTGCATAGTGACCGGGGTGGGATGGGAGGACAGAGTGTTGGTTAGGGTATAGCTAATGAGGTGACCCCAGACACTGGTCCAGAGGCTTTGTTCTTCTTGAAGGTTAAAATGCTTAGGCATCCAGGTCATGTGGGCCACTGTGCCATCAGGTTTCATGACTCCCTTGGCCTTATCTCTCATCAGCTTCAGCCTGGTGATGGGCTGTGGGCTCCTGAATCTAACAATCTGTGCTAAAAAAAGGCCCGCAGAGTCTCAATGGGACACGGTTTCTGCCTGCCTAAGAGTAGTGCCTGGTCCCAGGGATGGCAGGAAATGTCTCACTAAGTGAAGGTCAGAAAGGCCTGGAGGGCAGATCCCTTTAAGGATGAAAGAGCCAGACCAGAAAATGAAGGGAGTTACATTCTCAGAGGTGGGAATAGCATAAGCAAAGGTGGTGCCAGATGAACCTCGAATTGTGAATTGAGTGGATGGAGCAGAGGAAGAGCGGGAGGGGAGGCATGAGGAGTGGATCGCCCCACACCTGACCTGGAGGCCCTGAACACCGCTGCAGGGCACGGCCTTTATGCCAGGGCAATGGGAAGCTGAAGGCTCAAGCAGGAGTGGGATGTGGTCATTTCTTTGGAAAGCCCTCTGGCTGTGAGGAGTGGCACAGGGAGGATGGTCGGAGCCAGCCAGACCCAGTATCCACACATGAAGAATAATTCCCAGGATGAATGCCCCAGTGAAATTCAGTGGCAATAGTTCCGGCCCGGGGCCACAGGTCATCTTCCCCGGCTGGAGCGGGCCGGCTTGGCTGGGATAGATGAGCAGGTCGGGAGGAGAAACAGATGTGGCTGGAGTGAGTGTGGCTGAGCAGGCTGTGGTTTGAAATGATGACCAGTTGCCCGGCAGGCCCCTGCGCTGTACTGGCAGCCGGGATTGGGGACAAAGATTCAGCAGAGGGGTGTGAGAGCTGGGCTGCCCTGAGGCTGTGGCTTGAGAAGCCCCAGGCCAGCCTTGGTCCCCCACTGCTTCCACCCGAAGGCACCCAGCTTCTGTGGGAGGCCATGCCCAGGTTAACCCCTGCAGTGCCAACTGTCATCCTGCCCCCGTCCGAGCCCCACACTCCAGGGTGCCCAAGGCAGGGCCGGGAGTGGGCAGCCATTTCCTTTCTGTCCCCAGGTGGACGATTAGCCCAGCTTCCAGCCTGGGGAATCCCGGGGCCACTGCTCTGGTCCATGCCCAGGGGCTGCGTCTCCTCCTTGAGACTTTCCAGCAGGGTCTGCCTTCTGCCACTGGCTCCTCAGAGAGCTGAAATAACCCAGCAAGATCAGCTAGCCTTCCCAGAAAGGCAGCTGAAGGCTTGGGCTTCCTCAGAGGAATGGATCTCTCAATGGTAAATATCAATATCCCTAGCGAGGGTGGGAGGCCAATCACTGTAGGTGGAGGCCGAGGCTACCCCACCATGGCCTCCTGACAATCGGCACTGGATAACAAGCTGGGATAGCCTTCCCCAGGGCCCTGCAACTCTGTTCCCGGTGGGTCCCACATGGAATGGGCTGGCTCACAGGAGGCAGGGCTAGATTGCTCGGTCCTGCCCAAGGCAGGAGGGCAGGAGTGAAGGAGGCGCCTATTGTCCCCACCAAACTCAGGTCAGAGTGAGTCATTGATCCAGGCTTGGCTGCTCCCTTGGTCTGAGGGGAGGGAGGGTCTGAGGGAGAACCCAAGATGGCTTCTGGGGGCAGGGGACAGGGGCGGCAGAAAAGGTATTCTAGGCATTCCATGGACAGGAAAAAAGGACGGAAGCAGGAAAGATGACTCATAAGTTGTCGCTTCTTTGAGTAAAGCAACAAGGAGTGGGTGGAGCTGAGGGTTATTGGAGTAATGTCCTCACGGGGAGGCTAAATGAGGAGGGCATGTGACCCTCGGGTGGCTCAAGGCCAGTGAAGCTGCCATTCTTTCTCCTGGCCTCAGCGTCTCCAGCTTCGATGACTGAAGTGGCGCAGAAAAAATCTGAAACAAGATAAATGAACGAAGTGGCCAACAG